GGAAGACCGACTTGTTACAATTTGTCAATACTTAGTATTCCTGTTTTAATGTTCAGTTGGTGCATTTGGAAAAGTAAACAAAATCTAGATGTTGCCTTTGTCGAACGTGTCATTCACTGCCGTCGTAGTTCGCAGGCCGGTCGAGAAAGATCGACTACCGAACTAGTCAGGTTTACTTCCTGGGGATAAAATTTGATTCAGACGAATTATGGAATAGCTGCAGCTGTGTTACGTGAAAAGTTACCGTTATGAACATTACAACAATCACCTTGATTAATTATAGGAAGTCGGACGGCAAGAAAGACTGTTATATGAAGAATTTCAATAAATATGAATTCAAAAGACGGAAATAGGTTGTGGAGAGAGGGGGGAAAATGGAAGATTGATTAATTATAGGAAGTCGGACGGCAAGAAAGACTGTTATATGAAGAATTTCAATAAATATGAATTCAAAAGACGGAAATAGTCCCAAGTACAAGTACAAGGAGTTTGAAATACATGTCACAGCCTAAAAAATACCATCGTGAGCATATCCACGCTGCATCCTGCTGCATTCCGCTGCATATATACACCTTTTCTCAAGTATAATAGCTTCATGAATTCCTGAAGCTTACCGCAGCTGTGCTTGACACCAATTCAGCTTGTTTAACATCACATTGCATAATAATTAGCATCCTTAACGCTTTACAAGTACTAGAATACTTGCCTTAACACGATTTTCCGCCTCTAATTTGTAAGAAGTGCTGCATCAAACAGTTATTTTGCCCTTACCATTCAAATGTAACTTTAATTTGTGTTAAATTCGTATTAGAGAGCTTTGTTAACCATTCAGTGTTAGAACAGAATTATTATTGATAGATTTATCATACTTATTTTGTATTGAATTACGTGCTCAAATTAGGTGTTATCACACAGGCAAGGAAGCATTTCTGTTATATATGAACATGTTTTGAGAAATACCACTCGAAACCACTTTGGGTAGAGATTCAATAAAACATTTGTGAACTATCCAGAACAGCACCTTTTGGTGGATTTATTCTCCACACTTGCTGAGCTAGCCAAGTGGTCATTTGAGTAAACTTTTCAGTGACCGAAACAAATATTTTTGTTACCAACAAAGTTTGGGAATATACCAAAGGAGATTTAACCCTAATTCCGAAACCAATTTCTCTTCCCTCCGTTCAACAAAGTAACACTCTCTGAATAATCGAAGTCTTCTATTGAATATCCTGTTCATTTTTTTTCTCCAATCAGATGCTGCTCTAATTCAATAATTCGAATTGGATATATCCCCCAATGGATACATGAATATTTCAGGAATAACTGTAACATGTCGTTCATTTGATCTGTCTATATTTTGGAGCTGGAATTTCTAACCAACCGCTCCAATAATATACTTTGTTCAACAATAGAATTATCTTGAAATAAATTCATCCTTTTTATCTTAATTTGATTGATCTGTTACATTCTTAGTTTGAATGTTGACCATAAATTATTGAAAATAAGAAGAAACGAAAGTTTTTCTTTTATTTGCCCACTCCTTTCTGCCAATAATGCTTGAAATGACATACGAGTGACGAGAGGCTCAGTCGGAAGCAAGTTTCCCATAAAGTGAAACTTGGACAAAAGAACATTAACATTCCAATACTACACCCATTTTCACTAATACCTACCTCGGATGTCATGTAACCCATGTCCATGCATTTAAATCCAAGAACGTGCTTTAATTTCGCAGGTGATGTTCTTCGACAGCCAGTGGCGTTCAAACAGAACGCAATCAGAAAAGTTATTATGAGTTTTTAATTCTGAAAATTTCAAGGCATAAAAAATGAGTCTTTTTCTTTGCAGACAGTTCACCAATGAAGTTTGTGATATCTTCGAAATCTATTACCTAACAAATGCATGACAACAATTGACTAAATATTTTCAACTGATGTATAATTAATAATGTATGTTTTCATCAATTTTTCAAACTGAAGAAACACAAATTCAAACAGAATATAATTATCTTCAAAGATCAAAATAATATATTATACATACATATATTATACATACAAAATACTTATGTGTTTCATGAAAAATGTGAGAATGAAAATTCAGCTATTCATATATAATACAAAAAATGAAACAACAGAAATTAAAATTGAAGGCTATAAACAAAATTTGCAATTAAACTTTTCAAAGAATGAGTTTAATGTAAGAAAAGGTCTGACTTAGAACTATTCGCTTCTCTCAATATTCTTGAAATTGGACTGGAAAATCTGTAATTTTTTTTAAGATACTTTTATCGTCTCTTATTAGTCTGCCTCTTGATACCCTCAACTTTACTTGGTTCAGAAATTGTGGACGATAAATTTTACCACTTATTCTAGACATGTTTTGTGGTTTACATACGAAGAATTTGACACAATTGAGCCTCAATCAAGAATTCATCTCATCACAGAACAGTACCCAAATCTTCAGAGTATGTGCTGATAAATCTTTACTAACTCCAAAGATTCATCCTTAGAGTTCGAAACATTCGTGTGCAATCTCACTGATATGATAAGAAGATATAATTTCGTGTCAAATATAACTCCAAGATCTTTAATCTCTTCAACATGGTTCAGAGATGAGCTATTCACGAAATAATCATTCTCAATTGATGACTGACAAGGAAAAAACTTATAGCACCAAACTGTCCTTGGCTGTCCTTGTTCATCTTTCACTGCCTGAATCACTGTGCATACTGTTTTTGGCGAGTGCATTGGCTTGAGATATGGGGGTTGAGCAAACCACCCTGCTTCTACGTAGACTCGCTGGATACGGGAATGACAGAATTACTTGCGGTTCTGTTATTCCCTAACTGAATGGCATCCCAACGATGGCTTAGTCCTAAGGTGTGTGTATCCGTGCCGAAAGGATGAATGACACTGAGCCTATCAGCTGTCTCTACGGAACCTTCGAGATACCGGGCGCCCTCCCATCGTATCATCGGCTTGTTACGGTAATGCGGGGCTCTGCTGTGATTGATTTTCTCCCCCTAGCTACTCGTGGGACTTTTATGGACAGAGTAAACTTAAAAATTCTTTCTGACGCTGAGTCTACAGAGGAGATGGATATCGAGCTTACGACTCCAACTGACCTTTCTGTAAATTTAGATCAGGAGCGAGTCTACAGAGGATACGGATGTCGAGCTTACGACTCCAACTGACCTCCTTGTAAATTTAAATCAGGAGAGAGAGCTTCTCAACTCTCCAACTTCTGATCCAATAACTGAACCTAAAAAAAAGTTTGGTGGTGCAGCCAGGAAACGACTGAGTAGTCTCCTCAAGAGTGGGGTACCTAATGAAACTGCCTTGCACCAAATTCTTGAGCGGCGTACGCAGAATCTGTCTCAGGTGGAGGAACAACCCCTCCATGAGCAAGTTGATAAACGTTTGCGCTCAAGTGGTGATTCACCAAAACCAGAGGCGAAAAAGCCCTGCACGGTTGAATCTAAAGGTTGTAGCTGACGTGCAAAACTCCTCATATGGGAAGGTTGTTGCGGGTATCAAGGTGGGAATCTTGCACCTTGATTGACCGATTAACTTATTAACGATGAAACAGCAGAGCACATACTTTGTGCCTGCCTCGCTGGGGACTAAATAAGGTTTTTAGAGTTCTGCAGAGATGTACTCTTACCATCTGACCTGAAAGACCACTCACCATACAAACTAATCGGCTTCGTTAAGAAGCTGGGTTTATTTGGTCGAGTGTGAATAGGTGTGAGCCACAATTAACCCTTGCGAGTTGTGGTGGAGGGTCGAATAGACCTCCAATTTGGACCTAACCTAACCTAACCAAACTACTCTGAATTCAACTTCAAGCAATTTTTTTTACACCAGTCGGCCAAAAGATTCAAATCATTCTAAAGACCCATGCAATTTGGGAAATAATTAGTTTTCCGATACAATTTTAATTCATCAGCACACAGAACATTTCTTGAGTTTGCTACTCGACTTACAATAATATCATTGATATACATTTTGAATAGAAACGGTCCACAGTGGCTACCCTGTGGACCCTAGAGTTCACATTCATTTTATATGGCACATATTTCGACCCACTGGATTCTACCTCATAAAAAACACTTGATGCATTGTAGAATTTCTTCACCGTAACCAAAACTAGTGAAAATTTGTTATTGACCATGTCGAAAGCTTTTGAGAAATCTGTATAAATGGAGTGAAATCAATAAAAGGCCTCACAAGCTGTAATATTTTCTATGGAGTATTCCACTTGTAAAATGACACCATTACATGAAAAATTGAGATTTTTTTCATAATATCAAGTGCTATAAAAATAAACAATAAATTGATATAATTGTCTTTTGGATAGGATTGTAAATGGAATTCCTCATAAATACTCTATAATTTTTTATGGCATGTAGTATTTGTCATATCAATATTCGGTTTATTTTTTATTAATAATAATAATACGTATGTATTATGTAATTATGTATGTTTTGGGTACAAATTAAGTAACAGAAAAAAAATTACTATTGATAGGTATTCGTTTTATATCAGAAAGAAACAAACTTTTACGAATTGTTTTAATTGATGGTCCTTGAATACATTTTCTTTAGAAGTGTCCCGTTTTTATATATTAATGGAGGAGAAAATGAAGTGACGTTTTCTCTGAATAACTTTTTTGTTAGTGTTAATTAAGAATTCCTCAACAAGATGATTTCTTTCATAAACGTAACGAACCATAATTCTTCATTATTTTAAGTTATATCATTTTGTTATCTGAATTTTTGTATTTGAGAACACGAAAGCGTATTCATAATAATTATAATTATCGAAATTGAACATCCTACGACAAAAACGTACGTACAGTTCCAGGTATATAGAAAAAGAAAATAAGCGACAGTGTATATGACTGGTTTATATGTATGGGCGTAGGTTATATCGGTGTAATAATGAAACTAAATTCATCATGATTCAGCATACGGTTCAATAACAGGATGTGCCCCCATACTATAATCGCATACATCTGAAGAAGCGCTCAAGATCGGATAACTTTCACTAATGGCATTAAAACTTTCGTCGACCGTATGTTTTCGTTGTACCTTCGGTTTTTTCTGTGCTGAAATCTGTCACAACCGATGTTCTCGCCAATTTTCACTTTCCTTGCAATGATCAGAGGCGTAACTGAATTAGATCATATTCAAATTATTATTCGGCTCCTGAAATTTGTTGAGTGTTGTAAGAAATATCGAGATAATGAACGAATTGTGTTATTAGTTACACTTTCTTGTTTGATTAATGTAAATATGAATATTTGCGAAAAGTCAGTATTTGCGAAAAATCGAAATTTCAGGGTAAAAGTCGAAATTTCTAAGAAACGAATAATTAACATATGAGGTCTTTCTGCGATTCCGTAGCATTTTACACTATCATGAATTCATCTATTCCTATACTGTGGTGGAAATCTTGTTACCAATAGCGTCAGTAAACAGTCGTCAACCACTCAACGACAGTTAAAAAAAAATCTGTTTTTCCGTTAATCAGCTGTCGCTGAGGTATTATAGTAATATTAAATATTACTATCATCTCAAAATTTTCATCATATCTTGTACGTAATTTACAAAACATAACTATGCTGATACATCACCGAAAATTGTGACGCTCAAAAGAAATGTATTATTATTATTACTATCATTATCATTATTATTATAGAAACATTATTGTGATGCTGTCCATCATTTTCTAAACGAAAATCAAACGTTTCTTTGACGTTTACACAGAGAATAATGTTTAGCGGATCTTTTCTCTCATTGAAAAAAATTGACAATAGAAAGAAACAGGAATAAAACGGCTTAATAATGACCTCCATCAAATGCCTTAGAAACAATATATACAATACAGCCGATTTTGTAGGAGTGGTAGTGAAAATTTTATACCTTAGGCACCCAGCAAAATACAGCGGTGAGAGATCGGGTGATATAACTGGCTACACCACTCGACTAATATCTTAGAAAACCTAAAATGGAGAGGTGTACAATACTGTTTTCCAGTTTTTTGTGTGTTCCTGTTCATAATTCATGATAAGGAAATTGAAAATTTTTCAGCTGCTAATAAATGGGTTCCTGATATAGTAGAAACTTGGACAAATTTGCAGAAATCACATTTCATATAAATATTTGGAGATCCTATCCTTCAGTTGCTGAATTTTTAAAACTCTATTATTCTTGTAGCAGATTCATCTACCAAATTTTCAAGACGACGACACTTTTCAAGAATAACTTGGTTTTCAATATTATTTTTCATCAGGAAGTTAGTTCCATCAGGAAGTCAGTTAGTTATATCATATATTTCATAATCATGAAAACATTGTTATTAAACAGATATATGGAACACTATTCCATCTCTATATATTAACAATTCATTATAATAATAGATGTATTATACAATTTGAATTCCATCAAGATCAAATACTTTCTTCTTGACAGCCATCTTGAAGGTGTATCTATACAGTGTAAATATTGGGTACCAATCAAATCCGATATCTTGAAACAAGTAATTTGAAAAAAAGAGCTCAACTTCCATATAATTATTAATGATTGAACCGGTATATTTGATCCAATATCGACGGATAATTATCGCACTTTTTCATCTATGACTTCAAGTAACAGCTCACTTTGAAATGAGTTGAACATTTTTTCATTCAGCATTTCATTTTCAACGAATTTTCGGTAGAAATATTTCGGTAGAAGAAATTCATTAAGCTCATATAAATCAATTGTAAATTGAACCAAAAACTCTTTCATAGCCTACTCATATATGCTGCTTCGGGTATATGGCCCAGATATTTTTGTAAGTGCGAAAACATTATTATTTTCAGAAGTATCTTTTCCATAAAATATCATGCCAAATTGGTAAAACTGAACTGACATAATTGACCATTTTTTCACTGAAATGAATCTTTGCATTACATCGTATCATGAAGTAAATCAGGGAAATATAGACTATTCAGTATGGAGATATGAATTACCATGGTATGCTAAGAATCTGAAATTTAACCAATGAATCAATTTAGGAATATTTCATTCTGAATAATTTAACATTTTGGACGTTCAGAATATCAAATATAGAGCCTTCTCCATTTCATGGTTGCAGAATTCAATTGTATGTACCTACTAGCCATATTGTATAAATAATTTAAACATATTTTAAACAGAATAAGAGTATTGTTATTTTCAGATTAGCTGATATCTTTTTTCTATTCCAGATTCATTTTATGGTGATGACTCTAGCAGTGTACAACGTACTTGCAGAAGAGTACGAAACAAACGAAGTCTCGACTCCTCCAAAAGTAAACTTAGACGGCAACCTAAGGAGAGCACTCCTTAAAGCATTAACCGAACTAGAAAATGACGAGCAAGCAAACTCCGGCAATCAACTTGGCGATAATCCTAAAGACAAACTGATTGAAAGAGCCTCTGCGTCTTCCGTATCAATATATGCCAATAGTGATTTGGTATCTTCATCTCCGCCACCCATAGAAACAACTGCTAGTACGACCACGACAACCACTGAGAAGTCTTTGGTGTTTCTACAGAAGAGTGAGGGTATCCAACACCCCTCTATCATCACCATAGAAAAAGACAGTGAAGATTCAGAACAAATAATCACAAGTTCGAGTAACAATTTTGCGAACCAGCCATTCCAGAGTTCCAACCAAGATGAGAAGGTGCAAAGTTCCAACCTGAATTCTATTAAAAATTCCGATAAGGAAGTTACAAAATTGAGGAGGGTGGAACTAACTACAATCACACCAACAGTATCAACAGAAGAAAGTGAGGCCAAAGTAGAAGACGTGCAATTCTTTTCAGCTCCTTTAGTGGCAGCTTTCACCGTTCATCAGGATGAACTTGGTCAACCGAACAAAGTAGAACCGATATACAGATCTACACTGGCGAACCACGACCAAGTAATCAACACCGTTGAGCAAGAACGAATCGCGCTGGCTCAGCAGAAGCAAATTAGATTAGTTCAATTGGAACAGGAAAGGCTCAAACTAGAAGAGCTCAGGAGGCAGCAACTGAAAATCCAACAATATCAACAGGAACAGAAGCAGAAGGCTCTGGAGCAGGAAATATATAGACTGAACTTGAGCCTGAAACAGCAAGAGCAGATTCATTTGAGGCAGCAGGAAGAATTACGTAAAAGAGCCAATGCACAACCCTTTTCAATTGCCAATTCCGGGTTCATCAGTAATGGGATTGTGCTGAATCAACAGCCTCCTTCTAAACCCTCTCAGCAGTTCAATTCCGGTATAGTTTCGGTGCAGCCTAGTCTCACCTTTGACCCACTCGTTGAGGCCGGAAAATTACCTTTAAATGCACAAGTACTACCTATCAGAGAGCCAGTAGAGTTCAGATCGTCTTTTGTCAATAACTTCAACCAAAAACCTCAAAACAACAGATTTTTCAGACAGAATACTGGGACCGGAAATTTTGGCGTCAATGATTTCAAGAACTCCAATACTTTCTCTGTTCAACAATCTTTCCAGCCTAGCTTTGGTAGTTTTGAACGAAACAATGGATTTTTCAGATCTAATGGAGAGTCAGCCTTGACAGTTCCACAATTTGTGCAACTATCATCCGGGAAACTGCCAAAGTAGAAATATATGTATTTACCTTTACCTTAACACTAAACTGAGATGTATCATAAAACACACAATGGAAAATAAATTGGCAGATGTCCTAAGATGTCCTAAGGAAGAAAACGCTTTTTTGTTCATAATTGGCTTCATTCATTAATGTTATCTCCATCAAGAGCCATACAATCATTCCAGCGCCGCTTTAACGACACTTCTTACTGGTGAGCATTTTTGAGGTCTGCGAACACCTAGTAATCGCTGCGAGCCAAATCTGGCGAATACGGTAGATGTAGGAGCAATTCGAAGTTCAATTCATGTAGTCTTGCTATTGTTTTTTTTGATTTGTGACACGGTGCATTGTCTTGATGAAACACATTTTTTTCTTTGAAATATGCGCTTCACTAACGCTATATAATATTCACTGTTGACGGTATTTCCCTTCTCAAGGGAGGCTTTAACCTTTTCCAATTGTTGTGATTTCGGGTGTTTTGGACGAGGTTCACTCAGATAACGATTGTTTCGATTCCGCAGTGAATTGATGGATCCTCGCTTCATCCGCTGTCACATATCGAAGCAAAACTGGTTTGTTATGTTTAAACATGGCCAAACATTGCACAGAATGATCAAGACTTCCTTGTTTTTAGTAAACAGTGAGCTCGCGCGGCACCCACAGATAACAGAGCTTTCTCAGATAACAGAGCTTTCTCATAGTCAAATAATCATGCAATATAAAACCAACACGTCTTGTTGATATCATCAGAATGTCAGCTAACTCATACAACTTCACTTTTCGATTATTCAAAACGATTTTGTGGATTTTATTGATGTTTTTTGGTGTTACTGCCTCATTTGGACGTCCACTGTCAGCAAACCAATGTTTAATTGTTGTTTCTGATAGAACGGAGATCTTATAACACTTTTCAAGCCATCGCTTCGCTTGAACGTTATTTTTTCCATCTAGAAGCAGTATTAATACTAACTGAAAAACCAGTGGATGCATTACGACTAGCGCCAGTGCTAGGCCCGAGACTTTCCAGCCCAGGACTTAGTAGTCGATGCCGTTGACACAGAGAAAAAAATCACTATAATCAGTGTAATAATCATTTGACTGTGATTCGCTAACCAAGTTAGTATCATCAGAAGATGATGTTGGCTGATGATGCTTAGCTTTTCTAGTAAAACGCAAACTAGAGATAGTATTTCACACAATTTTACACCATTTTCCAAATTCTCCAAGTTTAATATTTAATAGACAGCGTCATCTGATTAATTTGGCAAGTGACTTACTAATTGAATACTCAGAATCACAATCACGTCACTTTACTTTTGTTGTTTTTGAATATTCAATAGGTTTTTAACTTTTCACAATCTAAAAAATGAGCTTGGTGGAATCAAATTTAATATTATGAAGTAAATTGAAAAGTATGAATATATTTTCATTAATTGATATTATTTGTCAATTGACAAAGAAAAACTCAAATCATTTTCAATAATCACAAACACAAAACATAATCACATAAACAAGAATGTTAATTGACATAATATACACCTAAACTTATTATCATATATACTTCCAAGTAGACCACCCTCTGAAAGATTAGTTCCAACCCTAACAGAAGTCAGGTGATACTATTCACCTGGAGGAAGGTGAAATCGAAAAGGTACGTTTTCAACGGACAGGACAAAGGAAGCAAGATACCTGAAAGCAAGCCTTGACAGGAAACTAACATTCAGGTACCATATCTAAGAGAGGTTACGGCTGGCGAAAGCCGATCGACACAACCTCTACCCCATCATTGGACGCAAGATGGATCTCCAAGTGAAACTGCTCATAATCAAGACCATCCTACTCCCCATCATCCTGTATTCCTATACTGCCTGGGGCCAGTGTGCCGAAATATACAGACGCCAAATTCAAACGTTTATGAACACCTACTTGCGGGCGGCCTTAAACGCTTCCAGATACATACCCAACCGATAGATCTACCGAGACCTGGATCTTAGCACCAAGTACATGCAAACATCAGTCCGCGACACTCAACATCTTTCTCCAGTTAGGTGCAGGGTATCACCATGCGCACACTATACACAATGTCATGTTTTACAAATTTAGAACAAATTTACTTGGAAACGACGGTTATAATTTCAGTAGGTGATATTAATATTAATCTCCTGAACCCAAATTCTAACGATACTCAATTGTTCATTAATTTGCTTTCTGTTTTGATTTATATCAAATTGTAGAGAATCCCACTCGTATTACTAATACATCTGAAAGTCTCATAGATGTGATCTGTATAAATAAGGAATTACTGGTAAGAAGTTTTAATACTATTGATATGAATGGTATTACAGACCACCTAATGGTCAGCTGCGTAACCAGCTTTCGAAATGAACAATTACCTACTGATTTAATATACTTCAGTAGTTACAAAAACTTCGATTTCACTAATTTTTATAACGACGCTGCGAATATGCCATGGGGTGGTATTGTTAATTTACAAAATATGAACTCTAAAGTAAACTTTTTAAATTATTGTATATTACATCTATTTGATAAACATGCTCCTATCCACCAGTTAAATTGTAAAAAGAAATTTCTGCCTTACGTCACATACAACCTCAAGCTCATGATGCAAACCAGGGATGAGGCTCATAAAACAGATCAGCTGAATATTGAGTTATAATTCGTTATCTCATATCTGTATTCTTATATAAACTATTGGAAAGCAAAAATTCTAATTACTTGTTCAGATTGATTAGTAAGCGATCTGATAATCATTCTATCAATTTAAGAAAAGATACATTTACTATTCCATATCATGTTACCACCAAATTTGAGAGATGTTTTTCTTACTTTGGACCGAAGTATCTAAATAATTTATTACCGTATATTCATTTGTCTATATATCAATTCAAAATTTAATTATGGGACGGGTTAGCCTCTGGCTAACCCTTTTCCCTTTGTGTATAAAACTTGTTTTTGCACAATAACCGTTATTATTATCATTATTATAAATAATCAGATGTGGAAGTGAAAGTACTAGACTAGAGGCTGACTTCCCACCAGAAGAGGTCAGATTTCAATTTTGCTGAAATGCCAAGCAGCGGATGGAAAATATTTTGCCGCAGAAAACTCAACCCTGGGAGCATGGTGGAACGCATCTGTAGTCTTCATAAGGGGAAATCTCGTTGACCTTATTTATTCACTAATATGGGGAACTCTCAATATTGATCCCAATGGTGGTTTGAAGTATTCTGTATTACTGGATTTTACCAAAAACTCACTCAATAAAAAAAAAATATTCCAACTAATCGGATATCTGAATAGTAGGAAGATAAATTGAGCTTGCCTAAATATATTTTCTGCCTTATGTGCCTGTATGTTATAAGTATTGGATTGTTGGCTTGACAACGGACTAATCAATACGTTATCCACCGAAAGAGAACATTCAGTGTATGTAGAAGCCATTTCATTGATTCCATTTTCGTTTCCAAAATGTCTCTTCAATGGGAAGATAAGGAAGTACACTTCGACATACCGTATTCGTAAGTAATACCAGCATTTGTCTCTTTCGTTTATACCGTGTGAGCAGTGTGATTGAAGATACAAGTTCGCCTAAATAACAGAACAGTGTTTTTTTCCGCTTATCAACGTGGTGCTAACAGAAACACCATTGAAAATCGTGTTTTTCATTCATTTCAAAAAGTGTTGTTCTGCTGAGACACCCTATATATTTCTACCTGAATCGCTTACCATACTCTTTTATGAACGTGAAAAATTATTATGAATTTTATCATAAAATCAAAAATAACGGAGTTATGTGCTTCCAGTTTGCCATTAAATTAAAACAGAATGATACAAATCGGTTGCAGTATTTGCTTTTTTACTCATTATAAAAGTCCGTTCTTAACGTATTTTGTTTGTATCTCATCTGAGATGGCACTGTGAAATAATTAATTCAATGAAACTTGAGGATTACAAAATCTCTCTCTGAAGTCGTTGAATTTCATGTCAGGTTATTCTCATGATTAAAATGCTTTTTAGTTATTGAGAAAAATGTGATATCCTTGAAGCATACATAGTGTGCCAAAAAAATTTCGACCGTACTCTTGCACGATATACCTACAGGCCGTTTCTTTTATCATGTAGTAACATTGCTATATTCTAAACCGTAACAGATACGAAGAAGAATAAATGGGAAATAAGGTGAATTTCATCGGAAATATGTGGCCGAAAAAATTTACAGGGACTCTCGTTAGCATCTCAATTTATTTACCATCTTAAACGCGTAGGCTTCTATGTCTATGTCGGGAAAAATGAATTCGTTGTTGATTGATATCTGTTGAGAACTGTCAGATGTTTATGAACATATCAAAGTAGTATTCAAATGATGAAAGGACTGATATGCTATTTGGTTATGCAAAATAAAATAGAAATTCTCTTTTGGCGAGGAATGTGTATGTTGAGCTATACCCTGAGATATCCTGATCCTAACTCTAATTTCCTAAGAGTAAATTCTATGAAACGAAAAATTTAATTTATTCAATCTTGGCATGTCAATAAAAATATCATAATTACAGAAGTAATGAGAACCCTATGCGAAATATTCTTTGTAATCCACAAACACGTTTCAACAAAAATGCATGGAGTAGTCTTATTGAGTCAAAAATAATTGGACCAGTTTTTAACGATGGTTCTTTAACTTAACTAATCGACAAAGAACTTTCACACAATAGTCAAACCAATTATCATTTTTTCATTGACCCTTTTAATGATCTTTCATTGTTACCAGAGAACCAGTTCGTTAGCGTTCCCGTTCTCCGGACATTACATCCATGGATTATTATTTCTGGAGATTTTTGAAGAACGAGGTGTATAAATATCATTTCGACAGTAACGATGATCTCCAGATGACGATAAATACTATACGTAGGGTCGATAATCGTACCGTACCGAAAGGTTTTTAGATGTGCCCAAAAATGTATTGAGCGAATCTATCGATCAATATTGCCAGCAATATGTATTATTTCGTTTGAATTTTAAATTTCATGGCAACGAAAAGTGAAAAAAGCACATGAATCATTTTTTTTTGGTTTTAGGATAAAATTCTTAACAACTTTTAGAGTTCAGAAAAGAAAGGGAAATCAATGGAGGTAGTCGGTGGTCGGTCGGTAGCCAAGCGGTTCGGCGTGGGTGCTTCGTTCACTCACTCGAATTGACTGCCGTGTTGGTCGGTGGTTCAAGCCCTAGTCTGAACGATCAATCTTCACTTGCTATCGTCCAACCCGTGTTAGCAATCACACGTTAAAAGGTAAGACCTCGTGAATCCTTAGCTCGCAAAAGTTTCGACTTCTGAGGGTTGTCATTCGTAGGGGTGCGACAGCTGGTTAACGGAAAAACAGATTTTAAACAGATTTAAACAGACAGAAATATTCAGGGTATCTCATTCAAAAAAGACATTTTTGAAAAAAACTAGGTTTTTCTGTTGGCAGTACATTAAACAACGGAAAACACTAACTAAATGTTATCCGATTCAATTGAACTCGTACCTCAAATGAAAGAGAATTTAGCAATGGTGTCGACTTAAATTTGATCACACTGTATATTCGTCACAAGTTCCATTCATATGTTCTTGCAATTTAAGGAAAATGAGACTCATTTTGGGAGAGAAGGTTATAGATAAACTCGATAATATTGAAGATACGAAGGGAAATGGTGGAGATAAAGGCAGAATGATTATAACCAACATTAGGCTTCTTTGGCATTCTTCGAGGACACCTAGAGTCAATTTGTGTGAGTAATATTTCCATAGCGCCTTATTAATATTAGTTGCCTTANTAAAAGAATCAACATATGTTTTATTGTGATGGGACAAAGTATGTATAACTAAAAAGTTAATGATTTGAAATGTTTTGATAGTTACGGAAATGAGTTGAAAAAACCATCGCGGAATAATTTAATACACCAAATGCTTAAAAATTATAGCCACAAATAATTACTGGAAACTGGATGGACAACCCTACATCTTACATAATGAAAATAATGTTTCTGTAAATTATCACATAGTGCAACAGTGAAAACGTCTTTAATCAATTATTGAATTGGAAATGTCCAAGTTAGCGACATCTTTAACCGTGAATATATCTTTAGGGGAATTACCAGTGTTTCTGAACCTGAAGGAAATTACCAGAAATGTCGTTTGAACGAATGCCCATAAATTTTTGCAAAGATCTCACCTACATCAAAAACAACAGCCATTTTAGTAACATAAAAAATATTCAGAACTGTGTGGTGATTACTCTGTTTTCTGTCTACCGCTGAAATTTATGGGCAAAAGAACCTTATTTCCTCGGTCTGCGGAGTTATTCAGCTAAAAAGTTACAAAAGTGGCAAAAATGGGAGCTTTTCACTGAATGGTTCACAAAATCTCAAACATGTGTTTCACTATACAGAAGCTTCCTCAGGCGTGTTGATTTATACCATTCAGTCCACTAGCACCTCTGATTTTTTGCAACTGCCCTTGCTTCTGATTGTTTTCTCAAGAATAATCGATGCACTGAGAATTGAAAATGAGACCTTCCATATTTTAGCCCAGTTACAGGTTGGGTGTTTTTCGACATTTTCGAGATCGAAAATCTAGAGGCATTCCTAGTAAATTGCCCCTACATCTTCCTGGAAGCTTCTTTTATGGTGACTGTCAAAATTACAAAATGAAATAATATCGAATATCTAGCAAAGAAGGACACATCTCATTTGTTTCCTCGCTGTTCTAGGGTGTTGTTTTTCATAGTTCTTCATGAAGTGTGAAATACCAGGGTGATTCATTTCAACTTCCTTTTCAAACATGTTCCTCAACAGAGCTGACCATTCTCGTTTCTCTCTCATTCAATTATTTCTTGATTAGTTTGATATAAAAAAGGGGAATTTATTACCAAAAGAAATATCCAGTTGTAGAAAATGGAATTTAAAAATATTGGAATATAGAAATGTATAGAAGTAAATGCTAAGACAGAGTATATATAAAATATTCATATACCTAGAATTTCAAATAAGCAATGATAAATTCAGTATATAACATGAAAAGATACAAATCATGCAATGTAGCAGTAGTGACATAAAGATTATAGTATGATTAAAAGTAATGGTTGATACATGATACTAAGGCATTCAGAGAGTCGAAATGAATATCGATATATGTATTTACCTATTTTATTCAAGCTACTGCACATAAAATAATACCATTAATAATTTTTATTGGAGTACATGCCAAATATGTTTTTAGGATTTGTGTTCAGCATTCGAGTCTAAGATATGAGGGGGAGTGAGAAGTTCGTAGGCTAACATTCAGACTAGTATCAGATCCATATGATTTTTAACTAACCCTACTCTTCAAAAAACATATGTACAAATTTCTCAGCTGTTATATTGTGGAATAGAACAATTTGAGGGAAGCAACTTTTGCTAGTTTGAAGAAAATGGATAAAAATGGTTTCTTTTGTTGATAAAGCATTGCTTTTTGGTGGAAAAAATACTGTTGAAGACAAAATTCAACTTGGCGCAGAGTGCAACGCAGAGTGCAGCAGACTGTTGGTTGACACTGGAAGTCTGGGAATGGCCTCTGACTTTATGATAGTTGTTGGTTCACAGATGGATCAAAAACACCTACCGGTTCTGGTGCAGGTGTTTTTAGTCACAGACCCAGGACAGATATATCTACCTGCCTAGGAACCAATGTGACTGTATTTCAAGCGGAAATTTACGCTATTGAATTGTGTGCGGAGAGATTGGAAGAATCCAACCTCATACACAAGTCAATAAAAATATTCTCAGACAGTCAAGCGGCGTTGAAAGCTCTTGGCTCCAACCGAGCAACGTCTGAATTGGTAGCAAATTGCTAAAAAGTACTTTCCTCTATAGGAAGACGTAAAATATTGTCTCTCTCTGGTCTGGATTCCTGGCCATATTGGCCTGGAAGACAATGAAACTGCTGACTCCCTTACAAAGAAGGGTGCTGCATGCAGATTCATCGGACCTGTCATTGGCATCGCTTTAGGCTTTGCCAAACAGATTGAACACCTGGATGTCAAGAAGATTTATAGACTCCTGGTCGAAATCTCCAGGACTGGCTCACTCCAAGGCGTTTATTCACCCTTCGAAGCTTGATACCAAACAGTTGTTGGACTACCGTGGGGACAATACTATCAAGTATCGTCTGTGTTCGACACGGAGTACCCCAAGGCTCGGTGCTGGGGCCAGTATTGTTTTTGTTGTATTTTAATGATCTAGCTTATATTGATTCTGAAGGAACGTTCACAATTTTTGCAGATGATACAACCATCCTGTGGCATGACACTAATGAAAATGATCTTCAAAACAAAATAGCACAAGATATTCTTAAAGTGAGAGAGTGGTGCAACTCCAATCTGTTATCCTTCAATATAAAAAAAACCAATCTTATATCATTCAATTGCAACTTGTCAGGCATTTCGATGGGTAATGATATTATATCAAACAAAAAACTAAATAAATTTCTTGGAATCAATCTGGACAGCAACCTCAATTTCAATAACCATATTAATTTGCTGAGCAAAAAAATAGCTTCGGGATGTTATGCTTTACGAACGGTATCAAATGAATTGGGTATTGTAACTGTAACCCTTGTTCAAGGAGCAAAAATTACTAACACTTTCTTCATTGTCCATACTCGAAACTGTGTGCCTAGTACATAAGAACAAGAAAAAATCGTCTTACGATGTTGTTATTGGTTTCACTCGCCAAAGCAACAAATTAAGACTGCCTATTCCATCATCAAATTTGATTAAAAACTCATTGATTCATAATGCAGCTAAAATATATAACCATCTACCGACCAGTCTTAAAGATATCCAATCACCTTATCAGTTTAGGAAATCTGTAAAGCAAGTTCTCATTGACCAAGTGTTTTATAGTGTTCAAGAGTAGTTTGATAAATATATGGATGGAAAATAAAATTATTCCCTGTTCAAGCACTGCTTATGTTGATTTTAATAGCTCCTGCAATTTTGAAAACAGTGTCTGTTTATCTTATTTATTTATATATTTTATCTATTGACTTCCTTATTTACCTGTTAATGTCTGACTATTCGTTCATTTAGGATGTATATAAATATGTATGTGTGTG